TCCTGTGTAGTGTTGAAAAGTACTATAATCACACAGGTATGACAAAAATTGTGAATTAACAGTTAAAACACACAAACAAGACACCACTCTTCACTAATGTGCGGTTGCAGGCCAATAGAAAAGCAGGGTCTCGACAAAAATAGTGCCTTATGCTAATGCCAACCAGCTATTTGTCTTCTTTTGTCCAAAGAAAACAGACAAATAATCCCAGTAATCATGTAATGTTAGCACAGAAGTTGTGATCAGGTGAGCCAAAATAGCCCTTATCCATGCCTAGTTTGCATTCTTACTCAAGCATAAAAGCTGCACAGGGGGAAAGTGTCTAACACACACACACACACAGTCTCTTTCTCAAAGACATACAAGGACAATAACACACAGAGCTTCAAATTGCTCCAAAACCTACTGTTGCTCATTTTCTGTGAAGTGAAGATCCAGTTTCAGCTGGAAGTCCACCTCGCTCAGGGCTTCCTCCACCTTCAAAACATTAGAACAGTAGTATTGTTAATGTCTCAACATGATCGTACAAATGCAACATGGATCGGAGAAGAATAAAGAATGAAACCATCATCCCATATGTCCTTAACATGTCAAGCACTGCTACAAGGATGCATCCTGTTTTCTGACAGGAAGTGCTCAGGATTGCATGGAAATCAATCAAAGTAATTAGGGCTGTTAATGACTAATGATTTGAACTCCAATGCTCACTGACTTATCTCCTCATTTGGTGTTTTCATTTTCATTTATTGATATGTTCAATACAATAAGAGGTTGTTAATTCAACAGTCCCTCAATCAACCTTAGCGATGGTCTATGTGCAGTCATATCATCGTGCAGAAATAAGTATTTGTCAGGGATCCTGAGCACACTGCCGCTGTTCTCTTGTTCATTAATGAGTGTCTCGCTGCATATTATCCCTTACATGTTGCATGGCTATGAAGGTTATGAACTGAATCAATAAAGAGGACGTCTGATCCCAAGTGACAAACAAGGATATAATGAACATTTAAATGCATGAAAATACTGCATAGAGCCTCATGCAATGCTGATTTTGTTCTTTTCAACAACATGTTTATGTTCTCCGTGTGATCTACAAACTGTATTCATGCATTTCTTAAACTCTGACGTAGGTTGAACAGAACTGCTCTCATGTTCAAAGAGCCATAGAATACTGTGGATGCTGATGGAAATACGATATTTGAATTTGAAAGAATGAAAAGGTGCGAGCAAACTACAAAGGCAGTGGCGTCTTTGAAGATTGGATATGCAGCATTGCTGATTATAATAAAGGTTATTCACAGTTCTTTCTCGTAACATCCACAGACACATACTGTACGGCAGACATAGGGAATCAGTTATGTTGGTAATTGATGTTCTGATTGATTGAGCATATACATACGGGTGTACACAGGGGAAATGGGGCGGCTATTTCTGTCTGTGCTATCTGTGGCTGTGAGCGGCAGATAACCTCCGGAAGGTTAATGAGCGGCGAGCCTTCGGGAGAGCTTACAGCTGAAATCTGATATGCCCTGAATCTCCTCTGTCTCCACACCTCCAGATCCACGTCCATGTTTAATGAAATATTCTAAAATTAGGAGCCAGGCAGACAGAATATTCTCATTCTGAGTGAGGCAGGGATGTTTCCACAGACATCCGACTGCAGAGATATGTCAGAGAGTGGCTGAGAGATGGTGCCACATGTCAATGTGTGAGCTATGCCTATCATATGGATGATTAGCTTTGTGCAGGGGCCATTTTATCTCCTCAGCTCGGGCGGTGTCTAATCGCTGTCACCGCTGATCAATTCGAGCTCCGGTGGCTCCTGACAACAAAAACAGGCGGAGTGGATTTTCAGGTCGCGCCCACGGTGAAAACGTAAAGGACAGGACATCAATAACTGTCTGGCAGGTTTACACGCCTGATCATTTAGACGCAACACAGGGGCAACGGGGGCCATTTACATGTGTCCGTCAATTAAATCACATCAAATCCAAGTTGTTAAACTCAATGATCCTCATAACGTTTCAGTGTCTAGATCAGTTAGGGCTTTAAAAAAATGAACTTGACAGCTACGAATCAGGGTTATGTATGGTTGGTCTTCATGGCCAGCTCAAGTCCTGTTTTTAACGCGCGAGTCAAGAAGCGGATCCTTGTTAATGTGGCACAGTTTTAAATATCCTACAAGAATGAGCCACGACAGATGGTTTGAGGTCCAAACACAGTTATTGAAATCTAGTCAGGTGTCCATTCAGATGTATCGCCAATATATGCCGAATTTCTAGAGAACAGGCAAAAGAAAACCCAAATATTTGCTTTTTTCCATCCACTATTGTTGAATTATTAGCAGTTTTTAACTTTTTTTGTAGACTGTTCATTGCGGCCAACAATTGCATTATTTAATGTGCAGCAGTTGAAACTCAATCAAGGATAAACAATGTAAACTGGATTAAATTATGATAGTTTGTTTTATGAATTAATGATGGTATTGGTACACCAGATTTCATGGATCAATTAGGAAAGTGCTTTTGTTTTTCGCTGTTTTTTCCGTCTTGTCAGTGGAGCAGAAGCTTCAGTGGACGTTGAAGCCTCAAACTTCATAATTTATAAAAAAATCGGTGTCCTTTACACAAACAATGTCACGTTTTGTAGTGTAAGTTTCTAAGACTGCTTCCCTTTAAGGATATCTTTCAGGCTGTAGGGTTTCACTAATCACCAAATGATTATCTATATTTGCTTCAGTTGCTGCACTTTTAATAAGAGAGGGTCTTTGCCGTGTTTGTGAAACAATCAATAGTTCTGAGTCTGGGAGTCAGGCTCTGATCCCCTGGCAGAGGTTTGAAAGATGAATCTTACGGGTTTCAAGATGATGAATGGGATGGAAAAAGAGAAAAAACATATTCCTGCTACACTCTTTTGTGTATTCAGTTTTTTCTGGTAACCCTGTTTTTTTCAGACTTCTGAGAAGACTAAAATCGGTCAATGGAAAAACACTCTTGGGTCGAACATCGCACAGTAAAACTCAACAAAGTGGGTGCAAGTGTACAGCAGAGTAATGCAATTCAGTACATTGACTTACAAGTATTCTACTTAAGTACAAGTTTGCCATACCCTTTTCTTAGTATTGCAATTTGTGCTACTTTAAATTTCTACTACACGTCATTTTGAAGGTTAATATTGTACTTTTTAAACCCCTATATTTGACTTCTTAGATTAGATATTAAGATCATCATATTAATGATATGTGCCTCCATTAATCCCTAAACTCGATTACTTGAATTTCTAACATAAGATTCCTCGCCGTGTCTTCTTCTGATTTGTATTCATAGGTTGTGACACACTGTCTCTGAACGTAGCCAAGTGTTAACAATCTGGATCTGTGGGAATGCAGAAAGCTGTTTCTCTGGCAATACTGATCGCAGTCATAACGGCTATTTTTAGCATGTCATACACACACATAGAGCACCGTGTGTGTGTGCATGCTTCGATCGAGCTTTTTCTTGCAAAGACCAATTACTGACCAGCTATTGTTGTGAGGACCTTTTGGTTCTAGATTTGATTTGAGGATCAGTTTCAGGTTATGTTAAGGCAAATGCTTTGCTTTTAGGCACGTATCTCCTATGGTTTTGTGTGCGTGTGTGTGTGTGTGTGTGTGTGTGTGTGTGTGTGTGTGTGTGTGTGTGTGTGTGTGTGTGTGTGTGTGTGTGTGTGTGTGTGTGTGTGTGTGTGTGTGTGTGTGTGTGTGTGTGTGTGATGTTGATCCATCATTACTGAACAGGTGCTGTTTGTATAGTGTGTACACCTTGAGCTCGCTGAATCTCTCCTCTCCCTTGACGTGTGTGTGTGTGTGTGTGTGTGTGTGTGTGTGTGTGTGTGTGTGTGTGTGTGTGTGTGTGTGTGTGTGTGTGTGTGTGTGTGTGTGTGTGTGTGTGTGTGTGTGTGTGTGTGTGTGTGTGTGTGTGTACAGAAAATGTCACCAGCATGACTCACCCGTTCTCCGTCTAACAGCAGGTGGACTTTGAAGATCATACAGTCGTTCACTGTAATCTCCTCGTTCCTGTAAAGGATCTGAAATATCCGGCTGAACACGGTGCCGTCGTAAACCCCCGCCGAGCTGAAGCTGCATTCTCCTGATGAAAACAACAACAACAACATGCTATCAACTATCAACGCAAACAGATACAGTATCAATAATGCACTGCAGCAGCTTTTACACTGCAATTAATACACATTTCAAAACCCCATTTCCAATTAGAGTCTCATTTGGTTGTGAGTTTGTACCAAGATTAAAAAATGCACAAAGGGGTTTTACAATTGTTTGACCTGACATTTGCGAATGTTTACTGGGATTGGTGAGGGATCTGAGTGTTTGTATTCAGATATTGGAACAGCTGCTAAGATTTCAGCACATGTTTATTAGTATTACAGAATTAGCTGGATTTGCTGTAAATCTCAATTCATTTATAAGCTTTTTAACTACCCAAGTTTTTAATTCCACAGGTACGAAGCGTTGCCCAATTAGTATAGTTTAATTTGGCTAGTGTGAAATCTGTCAATCAATATTAGAGCGGACCCAACAACTGGATCAGGACCACCTGAAAAGGGGGGGCGGGGGGGTGTTGGTACGATTTGAAGTGGATTCGCATGGGGTTAGTTTGTGAGGTGAAATCAACTATATAATTTAATGATAACAGTCTGAGATTTGAGCATGATTTCAAAACCTAAACTACTAAGCGTGGGTTTTTCCATAATGTAGGTCAACAGTCAACATCCTGTTTCCAGTCAACAGCCTTAATTTACAAAAGATCTTTGAAGAAACAGAAATAAACACATGAGAAGTTTGCTGCAGAAGCTTGTGACTCATCGCAATTCGATTTCCTCGTTTCGGTCCTGATAATGCAGGATGACAATTGCCAAAACTGTCCAATCAATGGGGGACCTGGCAGTCTGTTTCACTACAGTGTAAAGCCTCTTGGGTCGTTTGTAAAAAGGCAGTTTAAACAGGAACCAGAGAAGAAATAACAAACAATAATGTGTCCTTTTTCACTTGTTCCAGACCAAATAAGTGAAAACCTTCCTAAACACTTAGTGGTAAGACACCATAGCACCATGCATAGGATATAACAGCACATATTCGTCCATACAGAATTAACAAAGATCTTTCTCATCTATTCTAACTGTTTCATGTTTTGTAGTAGCCTTAGTGTAAAACAGGTTTTGAATAAGAATTGCATTTGATGATACTTAATAATTATATTTAAATATTACCTACATATTTATTAAATAAAAGGTAAGAATAGCAAGTAAAAACAACCTGAAAAGCCAAACATCTTTTACTGAAGATTTGTACAGTAATAAGATGCAAATGTAATCTTAAATCAAATCTACGATGCAATGGTAAGTCAAATGTACTTACAAAAACTGACATTTGACAGCAAAGTTTACTTGAGTGCCTTTAGTAACAAAGACTTCTTAACTGTAACTGGGAGGCGTGTGGTGCAGTGGGTTGTGCGTTGGTGTTTGGATCAGGGGGTCACAGGTTCAAACCCCACTGCAGTCAGCATGTCGTTGTGTCCCTGGGCAAGACACAATTGCTCCTGTGGGGATTGCCCACAGTATTGAGTATGTAAGTCGCTTTGGATAAAAGCGACTAACAAGTGACATGTAATGTAAGTAGATGCTACTTGAAATATACGTTGTTAAATTTACTTAGGCTACCTGAGTGCAATTTGTTACCTAGATTTCCCTAAGTCAATCTTACTCCCCATTGTTATCAGTGTACATCTATCTGCTTATGAATGGTCAAACCTATGCATTTCAAAGTCAAAGAAACCTTGAACAAATATGAAGAAGCAGCTACAGTAGGGTTAACTTAGGTCACATTTACACAGAGACGAAACGGGTTGTATCTGCTACAGTTCTCTATCGTATGGACGGTTCGTTCACACGAGGCCGTAACGGAACCGTGGAAATGGAGCCCTCAAACGATAACGGCTCCCAAGGTGGGTAGATCTGCGGACGAAACGCTCTGGGGGGCCAAACGGCTCCGTGTGTACGCCCTATACCAGGGGTCGGCAACCCCTGGCACGCGTGCCAGCATTGGCATGCGGCACCGTAACCAGTGGCACACTAGGAATAAGTGGAATAAGTGTGCAAAATATTTAAATTGTATTTTCGGATCCTGAACGAGACCGCCGCCAGAGCGCGTCTCCCCATTACCTGCAGAAGGAAGCCATGCACGCAGCGCAGCCCCGCTCTCTTTAACTCCAGGCGACTTTCTGCCGCTTTCCTCCGTGGTGCAGGGCTGATCGTTTCACCACGGAGGAAAGCACTTCACAAATTGCAGTACCCATAAGGAACTGTACAAATGCTGCAGTTTTTGCGTGGCTGTGTCTTTAGTTGAAAGCCCAGTGGCGATCTGCTCATCTCTCATTGAAATAATATGCTACAAAGGGGCGGACTGGCCATCTGTGTGTTGAACTTTCCTGTCGGCTCCCAGACCGTAGTCGAGGAGGGCAGAAGCAACAAGCTTTAGGTTCAATAACCCACTTTAGCTTAAATGACTGGAGAGAGGCGAGCTCTTCTTGGGAGGCTGTTGCATTTATTTATCTGTTCTTCTGTTTCACAAAATACATCACAGACCTCTGTTTTTTCTGCTGCCTCGTTTCACTTCCAGAAACATACACACGCTCGCTCACTCTCGCTCTACCATCCACACACACACATGCACACGCCACACCCCTCTCTCTCTCTCTCTTAAAGGGACAGCGATCTCATCTCACTCTGCATGACCCTAATATCATAACATGTGTGTTCTGGAGAATCACAGAACGGACGATCGTCCTTATTATTATGCCGTTTAAACCAATTATTTAAATGTGTTTGTTAAATTCGGCATCATGTAAGTTGTGCTGACAGGTCCACACACTACTTCCCCGCAGCGAGGCTCCCCCCGCCCTCCTGTTGATAGTTCACGAGCGTCAAGCTCCTCAACGACCCCCCCCCGTTGATAATTCTCGATCGTTGGCACGCTGATAAAAACATTTTTTTTTAATGGCACTTCATATCAAAAAGGTTGCCGACCCCTGCCCTATACGATCATTTCCTGATAGCGATGACGCCATAGCCCCGCCTCTCCCCACCTCTGCTGCTCACCCCCGCATCACCCGCGTCATTGCTGATGTGTTTCGCCAACAACAACAACAATGGAGGATCACAGGGTTGCGTTCGTGCTCCAGACGCTACTGACCATGCTACAGATGTTAGTGCAACATCTACAGCTCCTCTACCACAACCATCAGCAACAAGTGGACATGGAGAACTACATGAACTACATGTTGCTAAATCCACCGCGGAGAATAAACAGAAGGGCAACCATGGCAACCATGCTCGTGGGGGTCTTCTTCGGTGCTTTTGGTGTATTTTGTGTCGGAAGTACAGCGCCACTTAGAGGCTAGGCATATGTACTACAGCGCCTCCAGCGGGTCGAGTGGTCTCGTGTGGACGGACACGTTTCTTGAGCCGATTCCGTGTGGACGGAAGACTTTTTTGATATCGACTAAGGCTGCTTTTACACGGGAACGTTTGCGTTTATGCACAGTATGCATTTTCAAAAAAGTCTTCCGTTCACATGCTTTCGTTTCATTTAACGTGTCTGTTCAAACGAGACCGCTGGAAACGCTGTAGTACATATGGCGGGACTGTAAGTGGCGCTGTACTTCCACACGAGACCGCTCGAAAGCGCTGGACACGCTGTAGTACATATGCCGGGACTGTAAGTGGCGCTGTAACTTACGCCACAAAATACACCAAAAGCAGCGAAGAAGATCCCGGAGCAGCCCGGAGCAATGTTGCCATGGCTACCCTTCTGTTTATGCCCCGTGGTGGATTTAGCAACATGTAGTTCATGTAATTCTCCATGTCCACTTGTTGCTGATGGTTGTGGTAGAGGAGCTGTAGATTTTGCACTAACATCTGTAGCATGGTCAGTAGCAGTAGCACTAGCAGTAGCTACTGACAGTAGCTACTGCTAGTGCTACAGCAGTGAGCAGCAGAGGCGGGGAGAGGTGGGGCTATCGTTATTTTTTCAGGAAATATTCGTATAGAGGCGATTACACAGACTCGTTTGACCCCCCAGAGAGTTTCGTTTGCAAATCTATCCACCTTGGGACCCGTTATCGTTTGTGGGGTCCGTTTGTTACGGCCTCGTGTAAATAATAGGGCTATACGCAAGAGAAACTATGCAGATACAAGCCGTTTCGTTCTTGTGTAAATGTGGCCTAAGGTTCGTTTTCGTTTTTTCGTCTCCGTGTAAACGTGGCCTTAGTTTAGCTAGGCTATAGAAGCAAGGGGGAATCAGATACATGTTTTAAATGTTTAACAACGGCCATGTCCCAGTACTATAGTTTCCGACATAGTGTCTGTTTGCTCATTGCTACTGACACATTGCCCCCCGCTGTGATCAGTGAGAGGTCTCTGAGACCCCCTGCTGAGTGTGTGCTCTTTCCAGAGACGTTCTTACTCTCTCCACAGGCCTCCCCCTGATAATGCTGTCACTCCTCGCAGCATCAAGCTTCCCTGGGTATCGGGGGGATGTGTGGGAGCGTGACTGATGTCAAAGACTTGTCGTATGTGTGACAGAGGCAGTGTAATCCCTTAGGGTCTGTATTGTGTCTGTGTTTGTGCTGTTCCTCTCAAAATTGGATGAATGTGACTCTTTTTATTACTTTAGATTATTACATTACGTGTTGTTTAGCTTTTATTTTAGCGTCCCACTTACACTTACATATACATTAGACATGCCTACAGGAGGAATTGGGGATATTGTGTTTTATGTTTTTTCTTGCATGTAAATGTTTCCATTGGACTCCTTTGTTTACTTCCTGAACATAATGACATCCAGTAGAGACACTACATACTGATAGACACCTGAACATCAGCAGGAGAGGACTCTTTAAAGTAGAGACACTACATACTGATATACACCTGAACATCAGCAGGAGAGGACTCTTTAAAGTAGAGACACTACATACTGATATACACCTGAACATCAGCAGGAGAGGACTCTTTAAAGTAGAGACACTACACACTGATATACACCAGAACATCAGCAGGAGAGGACTCTTTAAAG